CAAGACCTTGTATGGAAAAAAACAAAGCAACAAGTAGGATTGCTACCTAGACTTCAGGAGAGCTGACTTCGATGTCTTCAAAGATTTCTGGAGTTGTCTCATGGAATAGAGCATTAAAAACTAAGTGGGCCCACAAGAGCTTAAGCTAACACTTAAACACCACTTCCTCCAAGCTCACTGAATGCCTTCTCTGCCCTGGTCTTTAATATAACAAGGCCCCAGGAATCCCAGACCCTGGAGGTAAGAGCCTGTGAAGAAAAAAGACCTCCTGCTACTCAAAGAAGATATAGTCAGAGAACATCTAGCCAAAATCAATGGACACAAATCCATGAGCCCCAGTGGGATGCACCCTCATGTGCTGAGGGAGCTGGCAGAAGTGATTACTGAACTGCTCTCTTTCATCTTTGAAACGTTTTGACAAATATGAGAAGTACCTAAAGGCTGGAGGATACATAGTGTCACTTTAGGTTCACTGGCTTGTTTGACCCAGAGAAGAGGAGACTGAGAGACTGTGACTGCAGCCTGCAGCTTTCTCACAAGGGGGAGCAAGGGGAAGAACACAGAACTGAGTCACGTGGATGATAGGAAGATTATTCATCAAGACTTAGTTGGGCACTGGAACAGGCTCCCCTGGGCAGTGATCATGGCACCAAGCCCGCAAATTTAATTCTTGAGTAGACCTACATAGAGTCAGGAGTTGGACTCAATAATCTTTTAGGCCCCTTGCAACTTGGGATATTCAATGAAATGCGCACCAAAAAAAAAAAAAAAAAAAATACACAAGCGTATCTTTCTCAGGTCATGGAAATAGAGTGCTTGGTCTTAGAGTTTCATCCTTAAAATGCTTTTTTGTGTGTGTGTGTGTGTGTGTGTGTGTGTGAGATTTCAATTCAGGAGAAATTTTGAAAAGAACTAGGAGGTGAATTGAATTTTAGAGTACCCTTCTTTCTTCACTGAACTATCTTAGATGAAAAAGTTAAAAGGTTAATTTCCCAAGTATGAAGTGAAGTGTCTCATGCTTACATTTTAGATGGTGTGTTTCAGCAGTGGCAACAGCAGGTCACCTCCACTGATGCAGATTTTTTAATTTATTTTTAGAAGCACCGCCCCAAGCTCTTGATAACTGCTGGTGAAAATGCATAGCTAATGGTAGTGACTATATTGAAAAACAGTGTCTTGTAGCTGAGAATTTGCTTTATCAAACAGCATTAGCAAGCTCTTTGCATCTACTGTAGTTTCCATGGAAATGAATAGGAAACATTACTTTCAGAGCAACCTATGTATATAGGAAGATGAATACTTTCCTTGGTCCGGTTCAGGCAACAGGCAACTGGAAACAGTTTTTAACACTAATAGGTAGAGAACAGTACAATGTTCTGAATTTCCAAGCAAATTATAGTACTCTTAAAACTTTTTTTTTTTTTTTGGCCTTAAACACCAAACTTGCAAATTTTCATTTTAGTAAACAGCACTTTTTCTGAATTAGTCATTAAACTAAAATAGAGAAAGTAGTTTTGTGGTTCTCAGTTTTCTTTTTTTTAGTAGTACACTGAAATCCACAGAATGATCACTTGTTCTCACTACATTTCAGTCTTCGATTACAGTACTACTGAGGAACAATCTTATTTTGATTTATTCCCATTATGTAATTTCAATCTCAATTTATTGAATTCTCACACTCCAATTGCACACACTGTACATAAGCTACATCAAGATAACAAATTACAGTAAGTAAAATAAAAGCAATGAAATGTAATTATACAGTTTCAACAGTTGTTCTTGTCAGGGCTGTGGAAAGTCCCTACATGAATCTGAAATTTCACTCAGTTGTGTCACATTCAGCCCAAGAACCACTTCCCATGCCGAAGCTCTTTGATCTTGGATTCAGGGTGAAGTCCTGCCAGAGGCTAAGTGCTTCAGGAAAAAGTGTTAAAATATCCTCACATTCTAGCCTTTACAGATTCATGCTCATTCTCATTCTTGTTTGCAAGAAACTCTATTTCTCTTTTTAGACCTACCTGTATTATTAAATACTATCATTCTTGGTATTAAAGACAAATCTCTAATCCATCATTCCAGTGCTAAAGACTGGGACACATCTGAGCTCCTGTTCCTTGCTGAGCAGCAGATGTGAATGAAGCAGAAGCAGATAACTGATGGCCTATGTCACATCACACGTGAAGAGAGCAGAAGTGTACATCAATAGATAACTACAGCCCAACAGACAATGGGTTAAAGAAAGACTTCAAAAGATGACAGTTCTCTCTGTCAGAGTCTTTGCAATGACCCTGATCCAACTGTTTATCTTCTTCCCCCTTTCTATCATAGCAGCTTAGACTGAAGCTTCTTTAGCAATGAAAAACCATCTATTTACTTGGCATGAAGAGTAAGAGACCCTCATCTTAATTTGATCCTCTTGGCACCACTGTAATTACAAACAACAATAATCAGGGGAAATGATCAAATAACTGGTGTGAAAAAACACTGGGATGCATCTTATAAATTATTCAAGCAGTCACAGTTATTAACAGCTTCCTAGATTATTGAAACTAAGCCAACAATAATGTTTTGTTTTAAATAATTTCCATCCATTACCATCATTCTTTAAGACAAAACTGCACTGACATATTTAACCTCAATGAGGATAGCACCACTGCTAAGTGTTGCCCTTGGACAGAAAGCCTTGCAAGGAAATTCTTCCCTTGCAAGGATTTGCAGAGTCATAATAATATTTCTGTGTCCATATTAAATTTTATAGTTTTTTTTTTTTATTACACAATATAAATACGGGGTTTTTGTTACTTCCAGACAATCTTAAAATAATTCCAAGGTTGTGCTGTCATCCCCAAACCATGGAAATTTGTAACACTGAGTTAACACTTAATTCAAACACTGGAAATGGAACAGTGTACAACAAAAGAAACAATGTAATGCCAAGCACAATTTTCTACTACAATAAGTTGGAGAGTGGCTGAGCAGAAAATTCATCTTTTGTCTTTTATTACATATCAGTTGTGTTATGCATCAGCAGTCTATAAGCAGAGATCAGACCTCTATCAAATGCTTGAATGATAACGTCTCTTGTGAAGCCATTTCTGAAGAGTCAAAAAGACAACAGCAATGGCTTTCTGAAGTCAATTGTTCAGCTCTCTGAAGTTGAGGCAGCAAAGGAAACTAGTTTCACTCACATTCATTTTGTACTAAATATATCTAGTCTTGGCTCCAGATCCTCTACACTCCATCTTATCTAAGTGTTTCTAGAAGATGTAACTTTCACACTAACAGAGAATGGTAAGAGAAAGCATCCATAATGCTGTTTAGCCAGAAACTAGGAGTGGAGAACTTCCTCGTACTTCTCATTAGTAAGAATTCTCAAAAAGGCCAGGAACACCACACAACATACTTCACAATGACACTGTCTGGCAGCCTGTTTGTTAGATCTTAGTTTTGTCACACCATGTCTCAGGACTTAATTCAGCAGACAACTAAAGCACGACCCAGCTGTTTGTTCACTCCCCCTCAGTGGGATGGGGGGGACACAAACTGAAAAAAGATTAAAACAGTAAAGAAAGGGATATTAGTAATAATATGTATATAAGACAAAAATGATGCAGACTTCTCTCATGAAAGAGCCCAGAACACACTGATAAAAATGCTACATGTTAAGTCACTCTATCATATCAGACTATAACTCCACTTAGCAGGAAAACAGCAGGGCTTACAGAGATGGGAGAGAATCTGCTACCAAGCACCAAGTGCAGCCAGTAACATATAGCAGAGTAGTCCTGGACTACAAACATCAATAAAGCAGCGTACCCATGTTACACATTTGATACTATGAGACAGTAAGACCTGCATCACATTGAGAGTTGTCTCTATGCACACATTTGGAGATGACTCATTTACATAGCATTCTCCAAGATAGACACAGTTTAAAGAAGCAAATAGGTCAAAGTTAGAAGAATTGCAATTTTACAAAATGGCATACTCAAAATTGTTGGTTGCTACACTAAAGATGCCTCCACAGTTCCAAGCAGCGTAGGTTTCATAGGGGACAGTAAAACATACTTGAGTAGGACCTCAGAGAACACTGTCTCTGCGTCCATCTCAACACTGGAGAAGTGCAATTATGTTGTTCTTCATTACCATGAAAGAACTTAAGCAAAGCACCAAACCCTGACCATCCATCAACAGACATAACACAAGAAGTGAAGCACAGACCAATGGCTTGAGGAAAATCTCTCTGCTCAAGGAAACAGCTGAGCAGAGCAGCCACAGTAGGAAATGAGCCTGCAGTCTTGCATCAAAAAGATGCTTCATGAATAGCACAAGACAAGACTCTGCCAATACCACTACTTCCTGTATAGTCAAACATAGCACAAACAACAACAGAACAAAAAAACACAAACCCTTGGCTTGTTAGCAAGTATATCATTATCATTATCAGTACTGAAAGTTATTAAAGCTTCAGAGCTGGCAACATTGCTGTACTGACACATGCACTACGAATATCCACCCAAGAAGTAGTACATAATAATACTACCTTTTCACACTCAGTAACCAAGCCATATTTCAGAAATGCAACAGAATTACAGATCTTTTATTTTTCAGCCTTAGCATAATTATCACTTTGTGACATGAAAAGGCTAGCATCAAATCAATAACTCCAGACATGAAGTTTTCATCTTTATCATGTTTGGCAACCAGCGAGTTCTGCTGGATCTTTAACAATACTCCTCTCATTTTCTGAATATGCAGGTTGGAATACACAGTCAAGGAGGAGCATGTACTGCTCCTGTTGCTGTCCAGAGACTGCAGTTTCACATCACAGAAGAAAACAAAGTTTTACACAGACAAATAATCAAGACAATAAACAGTTTTACTGATTCTAGCCTGACTCCCCCTATGATGGAATCTCAGCTACAGAATGAAGCTAATGCAATTAGAGTTAAGTGTTTCTCTAACCACTGAATGTAATGACTGGAAAATTAACACCTTACCTTCAGTTCAAGATAAGGACAGAGCACAGTTGAAGATGTATAGGAACTGATCCTGAGAAGCACAATCAACAGGAAACAGCTACCAGTTCTGCAAGTGCTCCCTCTGCTCAGGTCAAGACAGGGATTCTCTGGAAAAAAAAAAAAATAATCATTATCATGAAATCATGCCCAATGAGAACACATAGAAAGCAAGACATGATCAAGGCAGGTTCACCTATAAGCAGTAAGCATTATAATTATTCATCATTTGATTAGGAAAGCATATCCATATTTCTCTTTCTAATGATTCCTCAGTTTATATAACACATACCTTATTCTTTGTGTACAGGAAGAAAAACACATATATAGAATGAAAAGGAACAAGTGGCAGGAAATACTTAGTACACGTAATAATCATAGGTTCACAGTGATGGAAGGGTCTTTTAAAAGTTATTAAGCCAACTCCCACCTCAAGGAAAGCTCAGTCTTTCCTGGTCAATATTTGCCTGACCTGCTATTAACGACCAGCCACAGAGACTTCGAATCCAAACCAGAACAGCTAATCTACTGACCTCTCCTGTCAAGAAATGCTTTCCTGATGCTTAGCTTTTTCTATCAGAAATATAGGTATGTAAATTACCACAACATGCAGGACAAATGTAGAGTGTTTTTTTCCCCCTCCCCCTTTTAAAAAGGAAGCTTGTTTCAGATTTGTTGATACTCTGAAAATCACCACTACTACTTTTAAGATGGGAAAATGATACACAGATCTGGCAGTACATCTCCTTGTCATTTCAGTGTAACAAAGCAGTCACTGAAATATTATTTCAGGGGGAAAACAAACCTTTTTATGAGTACAGTATTTTCTGTAATGTTAATAGACATTAGCGCATCATGGTTTTACCTCTTACAATCAGCACTAGTTACTTTCAGGCCAGCATAAGTTCAATTACAAAATCTGATTTCACTGAACACACATTTGTACAAGGATAAAAATGGAGCCATTTTATGTTACACGTGTTCCACAAAGGAAGATTGCTGTTGTGCTTTTAACAACAAATGCTCAAGAAAAAAAAATATATATCTTTCAAATGGGAAAAATCAAAATAATTTTGCTTGCGCTTCCTTCACATGTCGTCTTTGCAGGGCTTCACCTACACCTCCCATGCTTTCTGGGTCACCGCAAACTCAGCATGAACCCTGTGGTCCCTACAATGACACATGCCTATCTGACACAGCAGAAGTAAAATTTTGCCTTCAGTTCCTGTGCTCTGCAGAGCCCTATCTTTTCAACAACCCAAAGCTTTCTATCCTTCTCTGAAAGTATCAACTCTCTTTGAAGAAACGAAGTCATGCATGCAAGAAAACATACATATGCATTTGTGTAAGTGAGCTCTGACTCAAGGGAAAGGAAATAAAGAGTGGGATTTTCTGGGAGGTTTACCATAGATCCAAACAGAAAAAAGAGTTTTAAGCCAGTGCTCTCATATAACACACATCACCAGTAGTAATTGTGAAGTCTAGCAGTGATAAAGCCAAAATAGCTCAATAAAGATCAAGAAAATAAGTTTAAAATAAATTACAAAAAAAAAAAAAAAAAATCAGCGTTTGTGCTGTCAATTCTTCAAAGACCCTACTAAACCTGAAGGCAAGCGTGCATTCTAAAGCCTCCTTAAGAAAAAGTTAGAACAGCAGATTCTGGGAATTTCTCCCATATGTTATCAAATGGCTAGCAGTATGTCTCAGAGTTGACTCACAATTACAAGGAAATGACAGCAAATGTCACACAGCAGCTTTTGCTCTTGCATCATCATCAGATATCTTCTGGTTCAAGTGAGAAGTCCAGGTCCAGGAGCCTTCATCATTCAGATGAGGTCCTTCCTCCAAAAACTAGATGCCTCACCTATTTAGCACAACTACATTCTGTGGAGCGGGACATTGTACATTCATTGTACATAAGGGAAAAAGAAGGACGGCAAAAGGTAAGTATTCCACTTTCTAATTAAGTGTTCTTGGAAACGCATTTGAAGGAATAGAACGAGCTTTAGCACATACATCCTTACCCTCATTAAGAACAAAGCGAAGTAAAGCTTGTTCTTATGAAACAGACATACTGAGAAAGATCATCTTGCATTAAGGGCAGCCCTGCTACTGCATGCCCAAGAGGCAAGTCGCTCAGATCCAGCTCTTCAGCTTTACCACACCCGATGGTGTGTTGCCACAATGCCCATTGCATCTACTTGAAATCTCTTTGTGAACAAAAGCACTTAAACGCTAGAGCAATTCAGCCCCCCAGCTTTCTCTTCTAACATGGCTCTTGACAAATATCTCACCTGCATTTTAAATTGATAAAGTCCTTCCTTCTCTATGGCACTCCACGGTGGCTCATGGGCATTCAAAATTAGTTTACAGTAAGTGGAAATTAAAGATTAGCTCTCAGTCAAAAATAGTGGTTCACAGTTCTACACACAGCTTGCAAACATACTCTGGAAATGTAAGACCCTAAATAACAGATGATATTGCAAAACGAGTGGATGCCACATGGCGAGATACAAAGTCGTCAAGGAAAGACAACATTTTGTAAAAAGTAAATAAAAATGTAGTACCAAAAAGTGACTATATTTATTTCATACCCCCATAGGATTTGGTTTCATTCCCAAATGTTGCTATACCAATAAATCCTCCTTCCCTTCAAAGTTACAGCAACACAAAGGATAGAGGAAATGACACATAAACAATCTGCATGTTGACAAGAAGGCAATTTTGTAATATGTTGTTATTTATGGGCAACACTTAAGCAGATGGAAGACGCATCAAAATGAGTTTCATTTAGAACATGCAGATCATGAAGAAGTCTCTGCAGGAGTGGTGTATCATGGGAAAATATGAGGAACTTCACAACTAGAACCTGTATTACTACGCGTAAAAGTAAAAAAGATACAGCACAGAAAGGGTCTCTGAAGTAAAAGGAGTACAGAGTGAGGCCTTTCCCAGAGGTGCACCTAACTGTGAAAAGCCTTCTCACTCTCTAAAGAAGCAACTGGCAGATAGGGCGACCAGTAATGCTGGAACCCTCATCAGTATCAGCCCACAGCCTAGCTTTTAGAGATGGACAACCTTCCTTCTTCCTTCCCCCTTTACAGGTAACAACCTTCACTTTTCCAACTGCAGGCCCCGAATCACTGTCACAATAGCGAATGTGGCCTTTACTACATGCATTAGCAGACTGAAATTGTATTCATTATTCTGCTTTGTTTGTGAGATTCCAGAACCTATAGGAGGGGGAAAGAACAGACTGACCTAACAAGCCAATGCAAAGCAATTTCCACCCAAACTCTGAGCAACACAGCACAAAGTTCCCCATGAATGCACTCACTTTAGCTGCATTGCTCTCCACTGCATTAGCTCATGCATGAAAAAGGGGAAATAAATTAGCAAGGGAAAAAATATTTATGCCTCCTCCTCCCCCTCCCCACTATTTCATTTGATTCTAAATCAATTTGGAAGCCTTGCTGGCATCAGAGCCCTGAAGTGCTGACAGCCATGGGGAACTTATAATAACTGAGAGTCCAGCTATCTATTTTCCTCTCTATTGGCATGGCTCCTTAGTCATACCATGGGACACAAGAGGGAGCAAAGCAGTTTCAGAATCACAGTCTTCTTCTAATAACCAATTTCATTTCCTGATCAAAGCTGAATTTTAAGAGTCTCCCACACATTAATAAGGCATCTACACACAGTGCTTGGATAATAATCATCTCACCCCCCCTCCTCCCACACCCTCTGGCAATCTACCTACTATGATCACGCTTACCAAAGGTTTGGTTTGTGGAATATTGTTAAAATATTCCAGTTACACGTTGTGAATGTGCTTTTCTGTCTTCTTTTGCTAGTTATGGGCTCATTAGGCTATCTCGATTGCATTTGGCGAGATGGAGGAGGCCTCAAAAAGTCTATCCTTTATGCACGAATCAGCTGCAAAGAGTTTGGGACCCTGACTTAGGAAAAGGCTGTACCATGTGTGCTCCACATGACTAGGCCTCAGAGAACCCACACAGGTATCTCTCAAGAAGCAAACCCATAAGAAACAAATATTCATTAGCTCTGCCTCTAAGCCATTCCTTCTTTTTCCAGTCTTCCTTCGGTTTCATCCAAGTTCTGTGATATTAAGCACAAACTTAGCCTGCAATATTTTGCAATATTCCCCATCTGGCAAAGCACTTCATGCAGTGTTAGGAGGGTGTGGAAAGCAGTGGCAGGAAGCCAAGAGCATCGTGCCTGCAACATGCAGCATCACAGAAGGATCCCAAATTCACGTCAGAATCCTTCCACCTCATGCAACAAACATCAGAACGTGCGTGTAATAAAGCAGCGCCAATAAAGCAAAGAAGCCTGTGGTGCTCTCCTGACCCAGCAACTCACTCTTGTTCCTGAAGCATGCTGCTGTAGGCACCCACTTTCCTGCAAGGCTGCTCCTAACAGGAAACTCCAGAGTCTCTTTACTCTGCAGAAATCGTTACTTTCTTTCACCTTCCACCAACTGAAACATTGTTTCACCTATTCTATAGGTTTCAATAGACGGGAGTGCCTAAAGTCTCAGCTTCACAAAAAACAAAGAAATGCACGCACACAACACAAGAAGAGCAGTTCTCCCTTTCAGATCAATAGGAAAGAGGGTAAGTTTCTGGAAAAAAGAAATCTGAAACTCCCCGAGAGTTTCTTTTCTACGGCTCTTCACAGCTTTGCATAGTTAAACTGCAGATCAGGCTTGAAAGTTATGACCTACGCTTCATAAAAAAGCAAGTTGTAGACTTTTGGGTCTGAAGCCTATGAAAGCTTTCTATGGCTTAACAGAGCCAGCTGAGCAAGGTACTGAGACAACAGATATATACGTACCTATACATTCATTCCGGTTGTTCTAACCTGTGTATCTAAGATTAAATAAAAAAATTTTAAAAAATACTAACTTACTTCCTCCATAGTTTTGCTCGTCCAAAGAAAGGAGAGCACAGCTGACATCTCCACGGTGATAATGCCGTAAAATACGCCGTTCGCATTAGGAAAGGCGGATTCGTGCCCCCTCCCCCGGCTCCTGGGAGCACGAGCAACGACCGTTAGGGGCACACGAGGCGCCGACCTTCCCTTCACAAAGGGCCGGCAGCTGCCGCGGGCTGGGAGGGGCCGGGAAGCTTCGAGAAGCCAGTTGCGTTTCTGTTCCCCACTACGAATATCGACGCAAGCCATTCAGATGCAAAAATTAAAGGGAGGAGAGCATTTTGCTCTTCCCATCCACTCGACCACAAGCCTGGCTGTTTCCTTCCCTTGTTTCAGATGCCATTAAGTGCCTTTCTGGCTAGTTACACTAGGGCAGCTGTCTTAGCCTCCAAAATACACACACAGCTGTAACACAATGGAAAGTGCAGCATTGCCAGCAGAGTAGCAAGGTCCCAGGCTGCAGCAAGCGACTTGCTCAAATGCAGCAGGCACAGAAACAAAAGAAAGAACCTGCTTACCTTCCGAAGGACTCGGGTACACAGACATCCTTGCTTCCACTGCCAACTCTTAAATGAGGTCTGGGATGGAGTGGATCCTGGCTCAATCCCTTCCGGTCACTCAGCTGCACTGCATGCACCTGAGCTCTCTTGGGTTGGCCCTGCCTTCCTACCAGGTGCTCAATCATTTCCTGAAGCCATGACTCAGCATTTCTGCTACAACAGCTCACTGGAAGCATTTGTGCACTTGCTATACGTTGAGTCCTTGTTGGTCCATCTCTACTGCCTTCCTTATCCATGTCAAGGTGGGTAACAGAACATTACACGTTTGCTGGGTCCTGCTATACACATGCTCATTTTACTACCAAGTACCAAAGCAAAATGCCAAAAGGGTCCACACAAAGTGACTTACCATTGTCACCATTGATGGTAACTGAAAATTCAGTAGGTTCACCGACCCTCAGCTGATTGCCTTGAGATCTAAGATCACAGGGACAGAAGAGGCACCTGCAGCTCTAGAGGGTCATCCTAGGTCTTTCACAGTTCCTCAGTCATCCTCTATAACCTTTCTCTTCTTACATTGACCTAGCCTATGCTTCCTGATCCAGTCTTACCCATAAAAGCAGACGTAAATGTAATGAAAGAAGACTCACTAGAAGAGCTCCGGAAGAGCAGAGAAGAAAAAGATTTGAAGAACTAGTGATTCAAGGACATAAAGAGGAAAAAAAGATTGGTAAGAAATTGTGCAAGGAAAACAAAGCTGGGAAGGTCACGTATGGTTTTATAATGAAACGGAAGAAGGAGATAAAAGGTGGATTGCCAAAAGCTCTGAACTGGTCTGTCTCTGCTGTTTGTCTTAGTGATAACACTCTAACTGGTATCAATACTTAGGTCAGCGCTAAATAGATTAGGAACTCCCCACAGGGAGTGTGCAACACAGACGCATGCAGAAATTGAGGAAAAGGGGCTCAGGATGAGAACAAAAAAGAGGAAGAATAGGATCCCACTGTGTTAGCAGTCACGTATTCCTTTGTGACTATACATGCTCGGTAAAGTGCTGTTAGCTTTCTTCTCGGCCTTGGAGAGTGGGAAAGTCCACACCTATGCAACCATGACAACAGCACACAAATACAGATTGTCTGCACAGTAAAATATGCACCTTAATAACCAACAAAAGGCCAAAAAATAAAAGATAAAATAATCCTGTAAGTTTACAGCATGCTACTCTTCAGTCACTAGATGACCAGTATGAAGCTGGCCAATACTATCGATTTGGGAAAATATTAGAGGTTAGTACACATTTTTAGGGACATCTTGCCAATTTTGGTGCATCTAAAAAAAGTAAACAACAACACAGTAAGACTAAGCAGTAATTTCTCTCTGAGCTTTAAAACTATCGACGTTTTTTGTATCAGCATTGTAGCTTCAGACTGACGTAACCCTTAACATCTGAAATAACCGCATTTATCCATTCACCACCATCAGCTGCCAGAAGAAGAGTGACAAATAATCACTAATGCCACTCGGCTTCATTTGAATGCTGTTGGAAAACTAAGAGCCACCTTTCCCAAGGTAGTGACACCACAATGACTGCATCCCCTCAGGCTACTAAAGAGCATCTGTGAAGCCTCGGACTCATAGTCTCAGTACTAATGTCTGCTCAAATCCAGCAGAACCCAGTGCATCAGGCTGTGAAAACAGCTTGGCATTAGGGAGAGGTCTGTAAACCTGGTCAAATACTTATTAGAAATAATTTCATGTACAGTTCTGTTAGAACAGTTTTGCTGTTCTGTCTGTAATGACTAATTATTACAAATATTTCTATTGTGTTAGCATCTAGAAGCTCCAGGCAAAATCAGGTCCACAGTAAAATTTTATCGCACTGAGACAGAGTCCCTCCTACAAACCTCTCTAGTTGAAAGCCTGGCCTGTTTCAGCAGAGCCAGGATACAATCCTGAGCCAAGCAGGTGGTAGAAAGCCATACAACAACAGGGGAGCTCAGAGCTGGATTCCAGACTTGCACTCCGATGCACCCCCTGGCACCTTCCTCTACAAGACATAGTTGGTATGTCAGTAAGCTGATCTTCAGCTTTACAGAAGGGCAGCACTGTGGCAATACAGGTAATTCTCACGGGCACATGCAGAGAGGTAGCTAATGCCATATAGCTGAACAGTCTTTCATATCACAAGAGCTTCTCAGCAGGGCAGCTCCAGTTCAGTGTACATTTCCTTCATTCTCTTGGTTTGTCTGAAAGATGATGGCACAAAACTTCAGAGGCCTGCGTGAGGACTCTTACAGCTTGGAAGTGAGGAAAAGAAACAATCTTCAGGCCATCAGCCATGGATCAGCTGTGAGAGATGCATCAAGCCTAACACTTCTCCCCTTCTCAGAGAGCTGCAATCTGTGGCCACTTTAGATGTGTAACCTTCTGCTCCTGCTCTAAGCGGGGCTTGCCTTTATTGGGCCACATGCAAAGGCTGATGCATTGGCTTGTGTAACAGAACAATTATTTCAGCTGAAGCTGTAACTTTTACAGACCAAGCCATGTTGTCAGCAATCCACCACAAGATGCTTTACTTTATAGCATCTCTGAACAGTAAGGGTTACCATGGCTTCCAGTCTTCTATACTATTACTATTAAAAATCAGAGTGTCCACTAAAAATCTACCATCAGTTTCTGTGTTTCTCAAGGGATTGGAAGTTCATGCTTTATGGCAGTAATTACATTGTTTTTTTTTTTGTTGTTTTTTTTTTGTTTTTTTTTTCCTACCGTTAGTATAATATGCAAACCAGAAAAGGTACCATGCACAAAACTGCACTTATAGTTTTTCAAGCCACCATGATTCATTCTCATGCTTTGTAATCCTTCCAGATAGAAAAATGTGACATCCTTCTCTGTAAAGTAAAGCTAAGCACATAGTGATCATTACTGACTACATGAAGGGCAGATTGTTGTTGCTATGACAATACAGTGAAAAAATGAAAGGGTGACTCCTCAATCTGTTCATCACCACTTCACATTTGAGGCACAAGCTTACTCAAAAGGATCACATCTTTTAAAGAAAGAGAAGGGTTGAAGGGATATACAAGGCATTACTTGCAAGACCACAAGATTAAAGTTCGGGAGCTCAAGGAGGGATTTTCAAAACAGCTTAGCTTTGGCATAACTATGCTTTTAACACATCAGTGATAAAACTTCCATTGTCTACAAAGTATGAAATGCTGCCATTTTCCTTGGTGAAAGAGAATCGGCAGCACTGGATTTAAAAAATGCCAAGCAGTTTTGAAGTTGTTTGGTACAAAAAACCCATGTTTTAGCACTTCTTACACATTTTAATCACAAAAGCTTGGAGTTTAACAATCACCTGTCTTAAGAAGACAGGACACTGACTGCTATATATGTATAATAGTCTTTGACTGAGACCTCAAAACCCTGAGAGCCAGTGACCCTAAGTGGGGACTGTCGCAGTTTCAGCAGCCTTTCTTCTTCTTTTCCCCTCAGCTTCTCATGGCTAGTGCCTGTTTTCACACTTCAGAAGAAATCTCTGAATGGGAACAGAATGTGATGCTACCCATGTAGATGGCAAAGGACAAAACAGAGGCAGGTTAAGTGAACAACTTGGACACAAATTTCTTTATCCTCTGTGTCCCTGTGAAGTGTTTCCTCTTACTTTCCAATTCCAGGGCTAAACAAACTGTACCCAGTGCTGAGTCTTTGGGAAAAAAATGCAGATCTCCAAGATGGAAAAAATACCACCAAGAAAACACTAAACCAAACCAAACAAACAAACCAGAAATACCCACACAACTGGGAAAAAAACAGCAAAGCACTGTCAGCAGCAAGTAGCCAACTGAATGGTTGGTAAAAGTCCTTTAATGGCAATGTGGTAAAGATCAAATACAAATTGCTTGGAACAAGGCTCCTCTGTTCCCAGCTCTACGTCCTACTACACGAAGATGGGAAATGTCAGCAGCATAAAAAGATACAGCAACTGGGAATTTTCTGCTCCTGGAATACCAAGACATTTCTGCCAGTTGCAAATAACTATGCTCAAGCAGCTCTAACAACTGTAGCAAGGCTTCTTTACTTGCACTCAGGTTCACACATACAGGTAGATTTCAAAAAGCGCGGCCTAAGCAGATGGCTCTGATGCTCTGCAGCCTCAAAAACAGAGGCCACTACTGAGGATGATCCATAAGCTTGGGTCAAGCAATACCTGTGCTCTGTTGTTGCTTAAAAGGTTACTTTTGAACAGCGCAAAATCCTTAACGAAAGGCCTCCTTTTCTTCCTCTCTGCAGTTTTTCCTCATGCCATTTCCAACTTCCTGATCAGTCCTTACTGTTTTTTGTTTGTTTAAAATGAAATGAGCCTAAGGCTGTGCTCAGTTTCTGCATATTTCATTTGATCATGCTGTACTTCAAGTATTACATCCCTTCAGTGATGTCAGGTCTCGGCAGCTCTGCTGGAGCTCTAACACACAGAGAGTATAGATTCATCACTTCATGTATTTTCAAAGGAATTTTTCTCTTCTTTCACCGAGAATTATGCAGGAAGCTCAGGCAGAACCTTCATATATTC